GAATACCAGTGCTTTGTTTGTCAATTTGGGTATTGGCCAACTTATACATAAGGACCAAGTGGGTTTTATACCATACCGCCAAGCTACTGATAGCATTGGCAGGCTTACTATTCTAACGGATATGGCTAGAAAACGTAAAATCCCTTTGATGTTGCACTCTTTAGATATCATAAAAATCTTTTGATGTCCTGTCCTGGCCTTATTTATTTTACATCTTGGACAAAGGGGTTTTGGCCTGAACTTCTGTCATTGGTTGTTGGGCCTATATAGTAATCCCACAGCTTGTGTAAAATATATACGGGCTTTAAATATCCACCTTTGACCATAGGCCTAGGCACTCAACAGGCCTGTCCCCTTTCCCCTCTTATATATGCCTTGGCCATCGTACCTGTCATGAAGCCAGAGCTAGCCTGTGTGGCCAGAGTTCTGGATGGGCACCTGTGCATGCACATGCGCATTGTCCTGCACAGGGGATTGTGCATGGCCGCGTAACTCTGCGTGGGTGTGCGTGCGCCCATGTGTGCGTATCATGGCGTGCGTGTGGATGTGCACACGTGCTCATTCCTAATGATGGCACCAATTGGGCTATTTAAGGCTGAGACACCTTGACCTCTCTGCTGACTGATCTTCAGCTATACCCTGCCCCTTGTTCCTGAAACCTGCATACTTGATCTGATCATCCGTTACGACCCGTTTTTTTTTAAATCTTTGCTCCTGCTCTATAGTCTTTGACCTCGTCTTGTTTTTGTCCTCTTTTCTGCCTGCTCCCTGGTACTTCGCTGCCTGCAAGTTACTGACCTGGCCTGTCTCTGATTATGTCCTGTCTCCCGATTGTGTACCTTGCTGCCAGATTGTTGCTGACCCGGCTTGTCTCTACTCTGCTTCCAGGATCCTGCGTTACAACTGCATCCTGCTATAAGACCCCTGCAACCTACAAGCAGCTCTGACAGGAATCTACACCTGCCGGCACTTGTGCCCCTCCTTGTCCTCATGCACCTGTTCCCACTATCCAGTGGTGTTTGGACTGGAGCAGCAAGATAGGCTGCCCTCATCATCTCAGACTCCCCTTAGGGTACATGACAGAACCCCTGACCTAGTTAATTCACAATCAGCCTGACATATCGTGTATATGTGTACCTGGCCAATGCCACCTACTGTGTCTGTTCGCTGATGACATTCTTTTGTTTCTCACAAACCCCATTGTCTCACTCCCCAATATATTGTCTCTTTTTTCACGATTTGGCTCCATCTCTGGTTTCCAGGTGAACCTGGAGAAATCTAGAGCTCTCAATATTGCCCTCCCAGCTTCCCTCACACAACACTTATGTTCCACCTTTCCCTTTCCGTGGAAGGATTCTCGCTTACCTTTCCTAGGGATCCACCTCACCACCTCTTATGACTCCCTCTACTTGGCAAATTACCCTGCATTATTTCATAATCTGACACCACTATTGGAAATCCTATCCAGTCTCCTGGCTGGGCCACATAGCGATGATCAAAATGTCTTACTTACACTGGACTGATAAAAAAAAATATGGAGCTTCAACCTCTACCTCCTCTCCACCTATTCATAATTGGCTCATGTGGACCCAAAAAAATCCCTGCAATGTTTTTGGAGATGCACAGACATTGGCACGGTATCCCACATCTGGTGGTCTTGCCCATACATCCAAAGTTTTTTGCATAAGGTCTTTAGATTACTTCGCTCAGTACTGCGTGCACCCTTGTCCCTGACTCTGGGCAAAATGCTACTCAACTTAAAACCACAGGGTCGCTCTAATCATAAATTTGCCCTGATGACTCATATTCCTACAAATTCCCAACTAGTCATCTAGAACTCCTGGAATTCCCCTTTTTTGTGCTTGTCCACAGTTAAATCTCATATCCACATGACACTTGTACAAGAAAAACTCTCCCAGCTAAATTATCTGGCTTGATGGAAAAATTCCATAAGATTTGGGATCCGTGGATTTCGCGATGCAGGTCTCCTAACTTTGATCGTCAACTGCTGTCTCTTTAATCCTCCATAGTGTCTACTTGTTGTGTATGGGAGCTTGACCCAAATCATGGTTAAAAATCATGGTTATCAGAGCTGTCATGTTTGAGATTGCTTCCAAAATACATATTCTATTATGAATTTTTGACAAGGTTGTCATTAGTAGTGAAATTATAGCATGTGTGCCTGTGGCTATATAGTCATTTGCCAGTAATTGACTGCAAAGCCTGCTCGTCATCTGCAATGCATCTTTACACTTTATTCTGGTTACATCCAGTAATATAGAGGCAGAGTGTGACAGCTAAAAGACAAAAAAAGAATCTAAATATCTGTTTTCATTTAGGCCCCAGGGCTTATACACTTTATTTCTTCTATAAACTATGCTGTGAAACCAAGGCTCTGCAGCTATGATTTGAAAATCCCATTCGAAGTGCACTTTTATTAGCATGAAATGGTTGAGTAATATTCCCACACATAAGTATACAAAGACTATATAACTCAGTGGGATTTGTTTTCCTTCCCAAATCATATTTCAGTGAACATTGTTTGCAAGGGAATTCAAGTAAAAGAGATTATTTTGCAATGATTTAGCCAATACTCTAACATGAAAGATGTGAGAGTAATTTGAAATCAATATTTAAGGCCCCAGGTGAGAGTGCTGTACCTTTGTCATTCAGGGAGCCACCTCAGCCAGTGAGCTGAACAGAGTGACAATGAAATATGTTCAGCTTTTCCTTGTTTAAGTGTTCTTCACAGCCATAGTCATAACAGAACAAGAGGTACTCTGTTTAGATGTACACTTTCTAGTAGAACAATTTCAAATGTTCTGGATAACTAGTTTGTCAAGTTAGACACAAAAAAGAGTAATGCTTGAATGGCAATGTAAAGTGGTTATTTCAAGTGATTGGAGAACACCTAGAAACTCAGGAAGACCACTACTAAAGAATACAAAATTACACAACCTTTATATGCTGAGGCCTCAAGTGTCAGTTTCCATTTATACAGTAAACCCTCAGTAGTCATCTTTCCATTATACTGAAATCTCAGAGCAAATGTAATTCTCAAAAGAGATCAAAAGAATGAATTCCATAATGAAGTACCTTGGTAATGCAAATATTAAGTGGAAGAGCCCATTTAGGGACCCAATATACAGTTTCCCCATCTCTTCTCTAGGCAGTTTTAAATCATTTAGATCTGATTTAAGTAATATTAAACAACTTCAAAACATATTTCTGCAACTTCTAAGAAAATGGAAAAGGACTCTTCATTACTCATTCTACTGCCCTGATATTATTTATGGTAATAAATAAGGTTCCCACCTACTTTGAAGAAAAGCCAACCTTTTAATGATTTTGAATGTCTTTGTGTCAGTATTATGTTCCACTTTTTAAGTTGAGGTCAATTTAGTGCAACATGTCCTAATTTTAGTGAGGTAGCATCTTCACAAATTAAAGTCCTCAGGCTGCTAACCAATAGAGGTTCTATGAGTTACAAAGTGGGCGGCTTTCCTCTGTTAACAGCTCTTTGTGAAGTTAGCACATCAATTCAGGGTTTCCAAATTGCAGGAGAGTCCTGAACCACAGGCTGTACCTTACCACCTCATGCCAAAAAGACACTTTGTGCACATATTGCTTAAATGCAGTAATAGTTTCTACAGTTAGGGGTCCTTACAACAGAGAACACTTCTTACAGGGGCTAGGTAAAACACTGTTATAGGAAACTGCATTGTCAATCCTAGACAAGTGTTGTGACTCTTGTAACTCATGTTATTATTTTACTGATACTGAATGTGCTAATACTGGTATCCTTTTCCCAAGTTATTATGTGCACTGAATATATTATACCAGTCTGCAATGAGATGAATAACAGCAACAAGGAAACTCCTTAGAGCACTGCAGATGCTAATAAATCACATTCTGCCTCCTCAATAAATCCATTAATCATGTGAATATAAACATTTTTAGGTATAAAACACAGAAAGAACCATCAAAGCAGAATTATTTGCATTTAGAGAAAAATTGGTCTTAGGGCTTACAGCATTTATGCAATATATAATGTATATAACGTTTATATGAATTTGCTTTTCACATGATTGGTAAAGCATGGTTTGGTCTGTGTGACTCCCATGAAAAAGGGATGTGACTGATATGAATTTGATCAAGATTTTGCAGCCAAATGACTGATTTTGCTGTGGTCTAAATGTCCTCACAATTAGTCTCTGATTTTTCCATGTGGCAACAGTAGGTGAAATTAGCTTGTTTGACAAGTTTGTCTATAAACAAAGCCATGTCAGAACAATGCACTGTGAGCATCTGGTGACAAATTACTTTTTTTATCGACAAAGTCACTAATTTCCATGTCAGTTTCAGCGCTGACATGGGAATCACATGGCCTTGTTGATCAATTAAACTATTTATTATCAGTGCTGAGCTGATAATGAATGGCTTTATTTATCAACACAGTCATTTATCCTTGTGTCAGCCCCAATATAAACAAAACTGTTACTAATTTCCTCTTGGTGCACTTGATTTGTACCTAGAAATACTTTAATAAAGTTACCAAAAAGAAATAACAAGCCAAAACCAAGAGAATTAAAATTAGGAATATTTAAAGCAAATTTCCTTACCATAAGAAGCCATTTAAAATAATTTCACCCTTATAAATCACCCAAACCACCATTATGTAACATTTCCCATTGACACAAATGCATTTGATCGACTGTGAATATTGCCAAAGTGCCGACATGTTAGTAAAACAGAGACACTAATTTTTTCTCATACTCTTTATTGACTATAGACTGTATGCTCCGGCAGTCCCGGAATTGATATGCACTCTCTAAAGCGCTACATAGTATGATAGGGCTTTATGCATAGAATAAACAAAAAAGTAAATTATGTACGGATATAGTTCATTGAAGTACCTACTCTATCACTCCTATTCATTTGTATGCTTTCTAGTTACGATTGCAAAGCTGACCCTTCTACAAATAAATGGGCTGCATTATTCAACAAGGATCACAGAGGCACTTCGACATGGATGAACGAGCCAGACCTGGAGATTGAATAGTAAATATATGATAGTTGCAGCATATTTTGTTTGACAAATGTAATGATCCTCCGTCTGCTCAGTTTGCTTTATGATACACAATGGAAGATCAGGATGGAATATAGATGGCAATAAGTATTCATTCAACTGCAAGTAAACCTGCATGCACATAATTAAACAGTCAGTGGGGACAGATGTAAATGATAGTAATTCAAGTTCACTGAAATGTGGCTATATGTTTGGCATTTTAACACTCTTTTATTCCCTTTTGGGGAGACATAGATTACTCATTCTGTCAGCACCCAAAGATATGAAAGTGACTTAGGAACTGCTGGAGATCAAGCCTCTGTGCCACTTACTGTGTATATATATATATA